GGAAAAATTATCTAATGATTATTACAATGTCTGTTGCCCCACGTAAAATACCTATCAGAAATTTATTTATATATATAGACATAAAATCTGTAATTTACACACAGTGCAATTAGCTCAAGTGAGTCCTGTTACAGTACATCAACACGCTTATGGCACTCATGATTGTAAAAGGAACCTTTTATTGCTGTATTGCTGTATTTGTGTCTGTGTCGGTATATCACAATACCACTTATCAAAGCAGAAGAGGGTCTTGTGCAAACAGAAGTGAGATGACCGTAAGCTCATTCATTAACCTAATGGTTTAGCTTGTTTTAAATAGTTTCATAAACAACCTTGTACAAAATGTAAACAGTGTTGGTATTTACAAACAAAAATAGCTGACCTATATATTTGCTATCAGTGAGTGATTAATGGATAAAAAGTGTGATGAATTGTACAGCTCTGAAACCGACTGCCTGCGACAAGAGAAACCTACAAACGTTTTGATGCTCGAGAGCTCAGGCATGACATTTTGCAGACAAATATGTCAAACATTCAGCATTTTGTCAGTCATGAGTGCGATTATGGTGAAAACCAGAAACCGAATTCAACAACAGGAACCTTGTATGCCAGACCTGTCATAGTGGTATGTCATGGTTAGGAGATGATGGCTGAATCATAACCAATCATAACCAAAAGGCATTATTAATTAAATTTCTTATAGAAAGAAAAAAACCTTTTACCAAATTTACCAAACAGAACCAACTCTATAGAAACAGAGGGAACATAAACTTCAGAAACTAAACTCCTGTTATTCACAAGTCTCTCAGTTCACTAACAGTAACACAGTTAACTCCAAAACGTCTAAATGCAGAATAAACGGTAAACAACCAGAAGTATAATCTAGTCATTCTCAGGCAAAATGTGAACTTGATGGCAAAAAGAAAAGAGGGGAAGTGGAAACATACGAAACAAACAGGGCCAGTTTCACCAAAGTCATCCTTACATCCATAATTACTGTATAATATACTCCAACTTAATAATGTACTAATAGCATTTAAATAGTATTTAAAAACATACATGCCAAAGTATTTTTCTTCAATCAAAACAATTTGCCATGGGCTGATGAGTCTTGCCATGGAAACACTTGTCCAGGTTGACGATCCCTGACTAACAGAACAGGCTGTAAAATGTGTGCAAATCAAATCAGCAAATCAGACAAGAGAATATACTGGTATTGCAGGATAAACCCTCAAAATGCAGAAAACAACAAATCAGGATCCTGCTGCTCAAATAATAAAGAACGCTGGTATTCAGATACAAGTGAAATTTATTAATATCCAAGGAATGCCATCAAGTTTAGGCAGATCCTTCGACAAAACCCAACATATGCTACAGTATGTAGAATGCAGGAGATGATTCAGTTTCAGTTAATCACCTTAAAAGACTAAGGTGCAAGAACGTTTATTAGACAGACTGGCAGGAGCAGGTAGGTCTTGACCTACCGCCTACAAGATATTACGAGCCATAATCAGTCATTACAAGACATTGCAATCTTTTATATTTTATATTTTTTGTTTTTCACTGCTGTTCAGTGTCATTAAGTGTTCTGGGCAAACTGGACATTTCCTCCAGGATCTTAATGGTTTTAAAGACTGAACCTATTCATTGATATTTCTGTATTCTGTAGTTATTAGTCAGTTGCTTTATGCAGTAAAGGTGCTGTAGAAGTCTTTTGTCAGCTGCCCTACATATATAGATTTGCTAGGAACTTCACAAAATGTTCACTCTGTGGGCGATTAATTAATATGAACCACCTGTCACAGTTGGGCACTTGATCTCTGTCCTTCCAGGGCTTCCACATGCCAAATGGAAGGGTAGGGTTACTTACTCAGAAGGAAATGTCCTCATTCTTCATTGTTCTTGAGCATTGAGTGAAGGCACTTTGATTCATTCTAAATAGCAGTGCTACTCTGGTACAGAATCGTTACTCTCTGACTGGGGGAAACGTTATGTCATTTCTCTTAAAAGGATTGGCCTGAGTTGCTTTGTTATTTAATAGCGCCATGTGGAATTACGTTATTGATGGGGTAGTTCAGCATTCTGACATCCTTTCACATGCCATCCATGACATTCTTCCTTCAAGGAGATGAGTGGGGAGATAATCTTAGGCTGGCCTGCTCTCAAATCACCCCCTTCTTCCCCCTGAACTGCCAATAAAGCTTTCAGCATCTGAATGGTGTTCTGGGGGTGGAAGGCATATCCTGCAAATGCCCAGATAATTACTACATCAAATAAAAAATTAAAGCACATCCTGTATCAGTACACAGTACACAGATGCTCAGGGTCAAATTTGACTGTAGCTTTTTTGGAACGGGAATCTGTAACTCTTCAATCTCCATACACTAAAGGGTGAAGGGATAAATGTCACCTTTTGTTTTACAGTAGAAGACCATATCTCCACTGGTAACTAACACTGGTAACCACATCTCCAGTGGTAACTTTGATAGCTGAAGAGTTGGGCTCTCCAAATAGATTGTCACAGACAATGTGTGTGCAATCTGTGCAATGTGCAATCTGATGGGAATGCAGACTGCTGCTACAGTTACACTTATGTGTGAGGTTATAATTGAAGAGCAAATTTCCAAAACTCTCTCAGTCCATTTGTTATTGTTTTTGAGATGAGGCCGTCAGTGACCTAAAATGAGGCTTTTTCATCATATGTTACAATACTGGGAACCAAAACTCGCTCAACTCATATGTAATCCAAAAAAGAACTTTCCTTAAATTTCCAAAACTCATTAAAACTCTTGAAACAGCATCCTGGGACTGTGTGAGTTTTGGAAATTTGCTTTTCAATTGTGAGAGCACTATCTGGTTGCTGTTGGAAAGAGGTCCTAACTATGGATTACAGTGTCTGGTTTTCCCAAAATGTAACACAATTCCAAAAGATGGAGGCGGTTTTTGGCAAACAAAACACCACCATTTGTGTTATTCTTAAGAGGCAGTGGCTCTTGCACTGTGCCATACATGTCAGATTTTCATAGAGCCTTTTGATGATGTGATGAAAACTGACATAACTGCAAGCCGGAGACACCTGCATATCCTTGGATGTCTTCCAAGATTCTTAGTAAGTCCCTTGATGTTTTGGCAGTCTGGTCACAGAGTGATGCTCACACGGCGATGTCTTTTAATTTTCCAAGTGTGTTTTAGCTTAAAAATGGCTTTGCAGTCCGTCACAACTGACTGGAGTCAAAAACTTTGTTTAAAATCAGATGTGGGGAAAATACTGGGCATTATATCTACTATTATATTTACCTAAAAATAATGATGTTGTTGAACCCAGCAGAAAAGACACGTGACACGACGACGATGCATTGCTACTTAGACAACCTCACCATTGCTTACTAACTGTTACCTCAAGGATGTTGAAACCTCAGCGGCACATCCTTTCAAAGATGCCTCCAATACCAGTCTGAGTATATCCAGCCATCGTCCATGCTGCTCCCAGTGCCATCTGCTAAGCCACCAAGCTTCCCAGAGTGTCAATTTAAAAGGAAATTGGACAGAGTGACTAGTGTGAATCAAAGATCTATTTGGGGAATTGCCAACAACAAGAAAGCAAACATGGTGACATGAGGGAATAAACCAGCTTTTCGGGCTGTAAATTACAGATTTTATGTCTATATATATATATAAATACATTTCTGATACAGGTTAAATGCATGGACGAGACTTGGTTGTAACCACAGCAAGTAAACGTTGCTCACTGATGAGACTCAGTATTGTGAGGGACACCACTTAATCAGGCATTTAAATTAGCAGCAGCGGAGCTTAATTATGCTGCTGTTGATACTCCTTTAGGAGAGCCGTCCGAAAGCTTTACCCTGTCCCCGGACGAAGGCCCACTGAGAGCAGAACAGGTGCAGTCAACAGCGAGTAAAAGATGAATAAATGTGCCGATTGCATTACAGTGAAATCGCTAGACGGGAGTCGCATCATCCTGGCTCCAGTTACTCGCGTGGAATCTCTTCCCTGGCAATTCCCTACGTTTCATTCAGCTGCTTGCTTTATCCCAAGAAAATGGCCTGGCTTGCATGTTTCATATCTGTCTCATTAACCGCGTCGCATAATTGGACTGACGCAGTTAGATTACACTTCTTTCTTGGAAGCACAGGAGCAGTACCCTCGGTAAATTCGTTAACCACCAGCCGGTTCTGGGGAACAGGGGAAATAATTGCTGCAGGTTTACTATATATTTCAAATGCATTTAGGGTCCTCGTTCCAAAGCCGCTATTATCAGAAAGTCTTGTTAAGTCCACAGCTCTGTGGCACTGTGGAAACTCTTGATAGAGGTTGCATGGGAAAATTTAATAAGCATATCAGCCTTTCACCACACACCCCCAGGGATTCCTTCTGATTGATAAGGCTCGAAACATTATTTTTACAGTGGAACACAACACTTTTATAGTATTCTTTTGTAATTCCTGTGGCCACATAAAGACTATCCTGAGTACATGTGCATATGCATTTGCTTCATCTTTTCAGGAATGCTAACTGACTCTTACACCCAAGACCCCTCGCAGTTTTCAGCCATGAGAGGAGATGGCCACCCGGGGTCTTTTTTTCCTGCCTGTGACCTTTTGATCCACTCCCCTGCAGCCAGAGATTTCTCCCTTTCTCTGCAATATACAGTCTTTGTCTCTCAGCCCTGCGCCCGTCTCACTCGGCAAACAAACATTCCCTGCTCTCCTGTCTGTGCCCATCTCCATCTCCTCCTGAGATATGAATAAAGGCAGGGAGTGGATGAGCCATGGAGGAAGAGGAATCGTGAGCTGGAAACATATATCAACAGTGATTTGCGTCCCCCTGCTCTCCTCCACCTCCTCATCCCTCCCTCCCTCCCTTCCAACCCCCCCGGTCTCTCGCTCTCTCTCTCTCTCTCTCTCTCTCTTTCTCTCTCTCCACAAAGCCGTTGTCACCGCCCAGCCCCCCGCATATCATTCCACTACCGTGGAAATTAAATGAAGGCAGCTCGTCGCAAGCAGGTTTCCGAGGATGTAGCCCACGATCCCGCTCTTCCAGATTCTGCTCCTGGGACTGAGGCCGGGGCAAGAAAAAAGGAGGAGGAATCACGGAGTGCCAGGCAGGCAGGGCTGAACCCCAGGGGCCGAATCTCTCCTCCTGACATCTGCTGGCTCCTGCTTTCCTGAATTATTTATCCAATTGTGCCAAGAGAGAATTTTTGCCATGCAGCCGGAGTGAAGTGGCACACATGGACGTGTTCAGCTTCGTGAAGATGGCAAAGTTGCCGGGGTGAGTGAACAGGCGGGCTGAGCTTCAAGGCTTTTTTCTTGGGGCACTCGTGTGTTGCCATTGCGATGAGCAGTGGTTCATCTGCCGGGGACATGACAGGAATTATGGAGCGGGGCGGGGGGCGGGGGGGGGGGTTAGGTGCATGCAGCAAATTAAAATTAAGCTAATAAAACTGCAGTGTGGGTCACCACGGATATGGTGGAGAGGACTTACCATGTCTATGATTTTTTTTTTTCTGATGCTGGCAGTTGCTCTGGAAAGCAATTTCTACGTTTGGTCAGGAAAATAACAAAGCAAGTGAGGGAGGATGATAGACAGGGAGAGAGAGGCTCGGTTTCTCGGTTTGACAATGTGGGGCACAGGGTGGCCAGAGGCCTCCCCCATCCCTGAACTTAATGAAGTGCCAAGCGCACGGATCTCTCTTAGTGGCCACCGCTGGGCTCAGGTTCTCTTAAACAACTGTGGTCGCCTCGTTCACGTCTCTGCTCAGTGGATTTCACTCTCAGGAAGAACTAAGGTAAGAAAAGATAGGAGGATGAGATCTGACTCCGTACAGGAGTCCATTCGTATTCTAAATGGTAAAAGGAACATCACCAAAAACCATGTTTCTATGTGAAGGGACAAAAGAAACATGAAAGACAGTCTTTATTGTATATTAAATGCAGGGACTCGCATGGTAATTGGATTCTGTGTCATTGTTTAATGCCTTGCAGGCAGTTTAGATTGCTGATTAAACTGTTCACTGTTCCTAGTTTGAAATGGCAAGAACCTCGAAATCAGTGATGAAGTAGGCACTCAAGTCAAGTTTGAAGGGGTCACCACCCTGCCGTCTATGAGAGCCGGCATGCGGGTGGTGGTGTGGTTTGGAGTAACCGTTATTAAGCATAGGTGTAGCTACACTACCAGTATATAATGCAAATAAAGTGCTTGAGAATGAGTTCAATCCTTTAATGGCTTTGAAGGCAGCATCCCATTCTTTGGCAGAATTTCTGGCAGTGGGCTGTAATGTACCTGCATGCTTGTGTAGGAGCACACAGCCCCAAATGAAGGCTTTCAAGAGAATAAAGTGAAGATGACAGTCTTTCTGCTCGCAGACCATAAGGAATCCAGAATCATGTATGAACAGACTGTCCTCAAGCCGGGATAAAACAATGTTTATTATATTTTCATTTTATTCAAGAAACTTTAGTCATTTTATGTTATGCTATATTTAAAAAGTCGCAAAATGCCAGAACTGTGAAATCCTGTGACTGCTAGTCATCATTAATAACATGTTAACAAGTTAGACTTTTGTTGTTCTAAAAAAACTATTTAGGCATCAGTCTGTTGAATGATCCCAGCCCACTTTAATCCCCATCGTATATGATAAGGAGCAACTAGCGCCACAGCTCTTATATCCAGATGAAGAAAACTTCCTGATGGAAACTGCAGTTAGTCTGGCCTGGGATATGCAGGGATGCAACTCCGAACTCCCAGGGCAACTGCTAACAATGTCAGACGATAAAAAGAATACTAATATAGATGGTCAGCGCTGTTTCCTTCAAACAGAAAACTGCTGATTTCTCATATATACAGTATGTATATGTGTGTGTGTGTGTGTGTGTGTGTTTATATATATATACGCACACATATATTTGCTGCTGTGATGGGCTTGCATCCCATCCAGAGCATCTCCTCCCTCATGCATTATGCTGACTGGGATAGGCTATGACCTCAGTGCTATTCTGAACTGAATAAGCAGTTATGGAAGACAAACGAAGAGATGGATGGATATTCTTTTATTCGACCTTTCACTTCATGCAGCCTTTTCATTGTTGATTCCTTACTGGATTTAGGTAAAAATAATCTTCCTAGGGGATTTCATTTCAGATCACAGCAGCCCTCAGTTAATTACCACAGGGCAGATTATTCAGTAACTGCAATGCCTACTTTTTTATAAAAAAATCACAAGTGCCCAGACCCTCGTGTGTGTGTGTGTGTGTGTGTGTGTGTGTGTGTGTGCATATATATATATATATAAAGATTAAGCGATTTAGAAGCAGACTTTTATTTAAGCTTTCAAGGGGGCACAAGGCATTGCATTTATTGTCAGGTATTTCATTTTATTCGCTATTATATTGCTCAGAGTACTGAGTGCAGGGTACGTTCATAGTCCATTACAAACCTCTAAAGGCGTGTTTTATACCTGGTGTTTTCCCAGTGTAAAGATAAAGTGTCATTGATCTGGAGGCATATGGTCATAGCAATAAGAACAGACATTGTCTGAACACTATACTAGCGTGTGATACCTTGCACACTATCATAGTGAGCAATGGGCTTAGTGAGTAGGACTAAGCACCAAATCTGGGAAAACTTGGCAGTTGAAACTATATGCCTACATAAAATATTATCCAAGCTACTTAATAAAATGTATGGAAAAGTAATAATTAAAACGCATCAGATATTGTCTTTACAGCAACTGATTTCTTGAACAGATTAGTTACCGATAAGAATTGTGTATTTTGAAAAGCATTAATTAAATATGTGTTGAATAGCAACTAATTGTTTGTCTTATTTTAGTAATAATTATAAAAATTCAGGTTTTTAATTTAATTCGTATATTTAATCAATGGAGCAGTGTAGGCCTACTCACTCAGTGGGGAAAATTGAGGTCTCACAACTCTAGGGTAGTTGTTTGAGTCCCCCAGCTCTAAGCCTGTGGCATTTCTACATTTTCTCTTTGTTTCCATGGGTTTTTTTCTAGCTATCCTCCAGAAGTTCAAAAACATATGGTTAGGTCAATTAATGTCTCTCAACGTGTGCCTAATCTGTGCCTCATGCTTCCTTAAGCCTAATTTATAGTTTGGCATAGAATCTACACCGTTGGTATGGCGTAGGTATGGCATAGCTGCGTACCCTACCTTGTAGCCTCACTCAGAAATGTAACTATAGGTCATGATGACGCAGATTGCAACAACTGTGATTGGCTCGTGGCTACACCATACCTATGCCGTAACGACGGCGTAGATTCTACACAGAAGTATAAATCAGGCTTAACAAGCCTCCAGTCCTGTTCTGGATAAATAGGTATATATAAATTTATTAGATGGTGGATTTAACCAACTGTCAGCATTAGATGTGGGAAGTTAACCTATATCCTGAATCTTGTAAAATGCATAATAATGATGCAGCGAAGTAGGTTAACAATCAACCCTTGTTATATCCTCATTTCATAACACACTTGGAGGACTGCAAACTGGAGAGCATTTAAGTGTGTGCTATGCTAATATGCAAGCTGGTACACAGCTGTTGTGTTAAACCATCGTAATGTTAACATGAGCCAAGGTGGGTTTGAGGTGAGATGCATCTATGTATAAAAAATAATACAGATATAGTAAGCTAATAATTATAACAACACAGATACAGTAAAATTATAGGCATTATTTTCTGAACTGTTTTAACTGATTTGAAAGCTGATTTTTTTTAGCTAAAATGCCAATGACTTTAGCTCTGTATGTTATATTTAATGTTTTTAGTGCTCAGTATAAGGGCAGTTATGGTATCGCCAACACAAGCATGACTGTCAGAAACAACTGTAATAATAACAGGTAAGTTTTCCATGTAATATATTCTTTGATTTTAGCTTTAGATGTTAAATATTCCATGTTATAAATAATTCAAGGTGATTTCTTCAGCAATATCAACAATTTATATATTTTTTAATATGTGAAACATTATAGGGTTTTGAAAAACTGATTTAGTATTTCATCTTTAAATGCCATTTCTAAACAATTTATAACCAGAATTAGCTTGGTAACTATTTTTAAGGATAACTGAGTGAGTATAATGAGTAAATTGGCCTTAATCCTTGTATATATACTGTTAGCTGAAACTGAAGTCAGTTGTTCTGTAGAGTGTATTTTGATTTATTTATTTAGTTTTTAAACCACTTTTGACCCCCTGGCACTGCAGCCCTGAGCTTTTCTCTCTGTGAGCATTATGACCAAGAAACCCATTCATCACATCAGAGCTGCTGAACAGTCTGACAAGCGTCATTGGTAGAAATACAAGCACACAAGCTAAATAATTATTTTAATGAATGGATCTGTCTGCCCTCAGAACAAAGTAATCAACGATGAGAAGCAGCTAAACTTTGCATCATGTCACTGTCAATTCAAATATTACGGTTCATTGGGAACCGTGCTGCCAAGCTGTCCGGGAAAAAAATGAAGTTATGGAATGTTTTAATTAATTCTGCCACAGACCTTTTATGTCGCAATATGAAAAATAACCACCTATCCATCTTCCAGCTGTCCAGCTATCCATCTTCCAGCTGTCCACCTATCCATCTTCCAGCTGTCCAGCTATCCATCTTCCAGCTGTCCAGCTATCCATCTTCCAACTGTCCACCTATCCATCTTCCAGCTGTCCACCTATCCATCTTCCAGCTGTCCACCTATCCATCTTCCAGCTGTCCACCTATCTATCTTCTAACCCTATCCTTGCAGTGCAGGGTTGTGGTGCCCTAGGCAGCAACGCTCATCCTGGATTGAATGCTACTCCATCAGAGGGCACACTTACAAACATAATGGGCAATTTAGTGATGTCAGGTAGCCTAACTGCATGTCTTTGTATTGTGGGAGGAACCTGGAGTACCTACAAAACACAAGGAGAACATGAACATGCAAATAACATATAGACAGAGCAGAGACAAGATTTGAACTGCCATCCCTGGAAGTGTGAGGCAACAGCAACTCCCACAGCACAGCCTTGGATGGTGGTATCACAGAGAGAAAGTTCACACTGTGTAATGAAACCTTTTCATTGTATTCTTGCTCAATTAACTATTAGCCTAAAGCACTATGAGAAGCAATGGTTTCTAATCATATACGTATATAGCCCAAGGAATAGCTGCATGCTATCTAAGGTTGTTTAGAAGGCGTTCATCCTAATCTGCATCTGTTTTTTTTTCTGTAGTAGTAAGCGTTTTCATGTAATGAGCATTAATTACCCCTCTGTTG